GCCGCCCCGGATCCCGCGGGAGCGGGGAGGGAGGTGCTAGCCGGTCCCTCCCCTCCACCCGCGCGGCCCGAATTCCGCCAGTCAGGTGACCCGGCCCCGCGCTCCGGCTGGGACCGCAGAGGGGCGCCCGGCTGGCCCGCGCGCTCTGGGGCGTCTGAGGCCGGCTTTCGGGGGGATCCCCATCGGCCTAAACTAAACTTAGCGACACCGCCTGGGAGCCGACCCTTGGGTCTTGTGAGATCCCAAACAGTGTTCATTTCTGGGCAACTTTCCAAGTCCTTTGCGGACGTGTGGAGTGTTTAAAAGTCACTCACCTAAACCCCTTCTAACCAGAATCTAATCGGTGACATCTTCCAAAGTTGCCGAACAGAAACTAGTGTGCTCACATTCTTTGGCCTGAACCAATCGGTTAGAGTGAGTTTCCTAACTCTTCAGGTGGCCAGACGGACTTACCAGCGGGAAGCTTCGCTCTGCTCCGGAGTTAGAAGGGAGACATCTATCGCCAGAGCGGACAGCGAGGTGACAGTGGGAACGCGCGCCGCAGTCTGTGAGGCAAGGAGAGCGGGCTCCCGGCCCCCAGCCTCCAGCATCCTAGCCTCCTTCCTCAGCCCCCCTGGGACATGACCTTTGAACCTTGAACTCTTCCACGAGTTCTGAGGATCTCAAAGCTCTCTACCTACTCATCTAATTTGGCCCGGCTTTACTGCTATGCTAACCCAGTTTGGAAAGTTTCACTCACCAAATCCCTCGCTTCTGGCTAGTGCAGCATCCTTTGCAAAGCCTTGCAATGCTTCCGAAATTCCGAAGAAAAACTACCATTTCCAACAAAACTGAAATTCACTCTGCTTTCAATTTATATCTTAACATCCATGTGTTAGACTTTGTATGATCTTACCTCCCAGCTCACCCCCTCCCTCCCAAAAGAACAGCAAGTCTTGGCTTTCATGGGTGAGTTTGCCAAACAAAAAGCAAAAGCTGCATAACTAGTTGTAGGGGTCTTCACTTCCTAACACCTTACATCAAAGACTCCTCAAGGGGGTGGCCAGCAGCCGTTTAAAGCAAGATGTGCAATTCTGTGCCTGCCCTGTCCACTCCTCTCTAGTAGAATCACACTCTAAAAGAAATGTGAACCAACACCTCTCTGTTTTTTGTTTGTTGTGTTAAAGCTGCCAACTTCTATAATGCAGGGTTTCAGCATGGTTGATATTAATGAAGTGAAGTGATAT